AATAGTGATGCGATTGATGGATTTGTTGGAGGAACATCTTGTGGATCCATCGGAGTCGATTGCGGAATGTTCGTCGGTGAAATACGATTAGAATCAGATGTCACCATTGATGAAGAAGCTCGAATCGATGATTAAGATAGAAATCGATGTGTAACAGAACCAAAAACAAACTCGAATCTGAGATTTCTCAGAGAATCGAAGAAAATCGCCAAGAACTGACAAGAAAATGAAGAAATGTGAATCAATCACAAAGATTTCTTCAGAAAATATGAAAACGATGATGCGGAAGACGAAATCGAAGCTGAATCAAGCTGAAACCTTCTCTCTGATACCATATTAGAACCCAGAATTTACATGAATACGATGAACAAGAGAGAGAGTGTAGAGAGAGAATGAAAAGTTTCTTAGATTGGATTTAATGTTCTGAGTTACATTTTCTAAAGTCTGTTAGTCACTATACATAAACAATCAATCCGGTTTAAGAGATAGTGTAACCGGAAATAACCATTAAACCATGTAACTCTAATAATATTTATTCAAGAAATAATGATATCGTTGAAAATTTTAAATTCTATCTTTTCTATTAATTTTACACATTCTTATACTATACTACTTTTTTTTCCTGCAATATAAATATGATTTTCGTGAGGTAAAAGAAACAAAAATATAATTTATACAAGAATATCGTTTTAAGGAATAATAAATATGGAGCTATTGTAGTCAATTGTATTCACTACATTTCTTTTGTCATACAATGGATTTCTTATATCAAATATGATCATATAAGTTATAATGATAATTTAAGTAGTTATATTATATTTTTTTTATAAAAACTATAAAAAAAAACATTTACTCTCTACTGTGTTTATTCATTTCGTTGAACTATATTCCAAAATGGCGTTGTTATCATCAAATTTTACCGACGGGAAAAAAAATATTTTCGCGCTCATAAATTTATCTCTAATTATTAGTTTATAGTAAGAAGAAATGTATGTAAGTAAAGAAGACATTTCAATTCAATCAATTAATAAAAATGTCTATCTATTCTCAATTGATTTTGAATTTGGAAAACCTGGCAGTTTTAAGACTTTTTTGGTCCATTTGTAGTTAAACATTTCTTACCAATTATATATATAAACACAGTATATTTTCCGTTTGCATTCTAGTATCAATTTGCATTTACACTTTGTAAAAGAATTTTGCTAAATTATAAAACTATTGTGGTTTCATTAAAATAAAACACACTATTTTCACATGTTTTATGGTTCAGTTTCGTAATCGAGTTCCACTTTTTCGAGTGTGTAGCCTTGCCTCGGACGGTTCACACTGAGCCTCAAAAGTTAATTAGGAAGGCAAGGATCAATTAATACATTTAGAAAAGTGCGTAGACATATTTCAGCTAAAAAGAACCTCCCAAAATAGAATGTGTGATACGAATGCTATAAACATGAATGACTGGAACAAGTCTTTTGGCTAATATAAAAACGCTAGTTTCACGAAATTAGACCTAATTAATATACTTCTTTAAAAATGGGTCAAACAACCTAAAAATCGAGACGTTGAGAGACAAAGGGCATTCAAAATCTCTCCTCTTTTTTTTCTTCTTCTTAGAATAGGTCTCTCTCCATTTATGAAGCAGCAGATACTTAGTTAAAATCACAG